AACATACAAATCTGTCACAACGTTTCTGTAAAAAGGTATTGTCTTGAAATATAAATGCACTGTAACTTCACCCAAAGTTTCACTTTAAATACTGCTCTCAATCCAGATTAAATGCAGACAGAAAAAAGAAAAAAAAAAGGTTATTTTCTTCACATTCTAATCCCCCCCCCCCAAAAAAAATTGATCTTCGTAAGAAAGAGCACATTAATTCAAAAAGACACATCATTTAAAATAGACAGCAAGTTCATGTTTAAAAAATGGTGAGAAAAAGTTAAGATATGACGTGACGCGAGCTCACATTTAAAAATTCACCAAGCAGACGGCAAAGAACTAGTTGCAACGAAGGCCACCTGTGTTGTTGCCTCATGTCGCTTCACGTCCAAAAAATTGGCTGCAAAGACTACAGCCAATGGCCAACCACCACGTACGTTCTGCGCATGCGTGAAAGGAAATAACTCTCCATGCCAGCAGGTGGCGGTAGCTCATTGTCATGATACGAGAAGACCATTTTCACACCGCTGTCGCTCACCATTCGTATTCCAGGTACTTCTAATGGAGAATAATGTCTGATAAAAAAAGTTGAAAATGGCGCTGGCGTTGTCAGCCCTGAGTCTTTTAGTGGAAAAAGAAAAGAGAGGCGACAAATAATGAGAAACCGCACTAATGGGTGAAAGCATGGATACTACAGCGGCATGCTCTGAGACTGTGTCGAGAGCTGGCGAGAAATGAAACCTCTGAACAGCCAGTCAGAGAGATTCCTCTCACAGACGCCGATTCAACATGTCGAATCGGCCAAAAACAGGCGGACGGGTAGCGATGGAGACACACTGCAAAAACTGGGGCGACCACCGCTCACCGACAGGCCAACTCGGGCCGACGGCCGACGACCTCCTTGATGTTTCAGGGCATTTAGTAGGGCTATGGTGTAGCGGTCAAATGACTGTTTGTGCTCCTCCGTCTGGCAACATCTGACACCTGAATGAAAGTTCCTACCTATGAAGTGAATCACCTGAATCCAAAAGTGCAACTTGTTTGTCTCACTTTATTAGCCCCCTAAATATGGCTCCTACACTCTGTAAAGCTGAGGTTAGCCGCTGACTCAGCTGATAATTCTCCATCAGACACTATTATATCGCTGTGTCACATTGTTTTAACATTGTTGTCTCATGTATCGTTATCACTAACACACAAACAGATTTGTCTGAATGTTTTATAGCAGCCACAGATCCCTCTCGTTCTGCTGTTAATCCAGTCAGCTCGACACGCTGATATCTGGAAGTGTTTCATACAGACAGACAGACAGATAACTGCTGTCCCTCTAACACAAGCAGTCCCACTGTTCCTCCTACAGAGTTTTTAACCGTTTGCATGTTTTGGTAGAGGTTAAATAATGAGAAGCTTAATTATACAGGATAATAAATTCACTTCCATTTTCAGGAACTGACATGTTTTTATGTGAGGAAACTTTCAGGCTTCAGAGATGCAAACTGGTCCAACAAAAAGTGTCTCATTTCAGGTGGAGCATCCTTAGAAGACCCAGTGTTTGCGTCCCTTGTAGCCCGCTCAGGCTGAACTAGAAGAAGACGTCTGGTCTACGGAGGATTCCTTGTTTGCCTCATCAGCTGTCCCCGCCCTTACCATGTTGTTTGTAAGCGCTGTCGCTATCGCCTAGCATTCTCAGCAGTCGCACTGGAAATGACATCACGAACATCACTTTACTGTACCTGCTACTTTAAAGATAATTTGAAGTTTCAAAGACCCCTTTGTTGCTCTTCAGTATTGTTGGCTATTCGATTGATTTGAAATCAGTTACTTACATTTAAAAGTGTTTTACTCGGCTGCTTCTGATTCTGCCAGCTTGTTTGAATTACACACAATGAATCTCAGGATATGATGAGCTGCACAGGATGCACCAGATGTATCCTTCGTTGGCCGAGGAAAGTAGGTCGCAAAATGTGACGGCCTTTTAAGTGACACTGTGACTTCAACAAAGAGCAACAATGGAGGACGTTGAGTAGAGGTCTCTGGCAGGCGCCTTCGACACATCAAGGCAAACACAGAAAGACTCAGGAAGAGCTTCTTTCTTCAGGCTGTCCGGACTGTTAACTTCACTCTCCTCAGTGAAAAACAAAACAGAACTGTGACTACATGATGCACACACAGCACACATTCCAATCTGCACATTGCACTTTACACACTGACACTTTACACTGTTTACATTATTCTATATTTTGTATATTCAAATATTTCTTTTTAAATTTTACATTATATTTACTGTATATATGTGTATTAGTAATTTGAGTGTTTATTGCACGGCCTTGCGGGACAGTCTTTACATTTCACTGCACATCTGTATGAGCATATGACAAAGAAAAATCTTGAATCTTGAATCTACTCTGATAATCAGGCGCTGCCCACTCCCCCATTTGTTAAATTAAAAACATCTCAGAAAACATGAGCACTTAGACATTAATTACACGACATGAAAAGAACTAACTATAATGACAGAAAATAATATTTGACATGCATTTTGATTTTATAGTTTGACCCATGTCCCATTCATTAACATTGAGGAGGCGGAGCTTATGAGCTATCAGCAGGGGGAGTTTCAACTATTTTGGCTTCACTTTTGGGGCGCTGTCATGTAGTCCATCTTTTTCACTTTTTATACAGTCTACGAGCTAAGCTAACGAGCTGCTAGCAACAGACGTACGAGTAGGATGGATTTATACTTTTGTCAGACTTCCCGACGTTCAGGATGCCGGTGTCACATAGCGACAGCCGTGTGATGCTGGCATGTTGGAATTATAACAGCCTGTTTATATTGGTACAACACCCAGTGTGTGTGTGTGTGTGTGTGTGTGTGTGTGTGTGTGTGTGTGTGTGTGTGTGTGTGTGTGTGTGTGTGTGTGTGTGTGTGTGTGTGTGCGTGTGTGTGTGTGTGTGACAATCCGGGGCAGCATCGTATCTCAGCCCCAGAGGATTGAAATATCAAACATGTGTTATCACCCAACTGACACACACACACACACACACACACACACACACACACACACACACACACACACGCTTATAAAATGTCGTCTGAAGTCCATGACATCATCGTTTAAGCAGATCACTTTCTGTGTCCACACACACTCTCGCACACACACACACACACACACACACACACACACACACACACACGCACACTTTGGGATGACATCATCGTAAACACAGATCATTTGTCAGTAAAGACCTTTGGTGGGGTTTTTTTCTAGAGTTATATAATCGTGAACTTTACATTAACTGTGTTGGATCATTTTCAAGGCGTCGCTCTCTCTGCTTTCATAGAAGTAAAATCTAAACGTATCTATAAACAGATTAAATAGCATCATAGCAGACGACAAACAACCCTGATTGTTTTATTCGTGTTAGCTCATGCACTTCATTCATTTTTGTTTTCATTCATCTTTTCCTTTTTTGCTGACTGCCATGTGAAGCTTTGTTTTCCACCTTTGTGACTTCGTGCCCCGCCCTCATTCTTTCTCACACCTCATGTCTCACTTTTTGATTTTGGTAAATGAACTTGAGCTTGTAAAGCACATTTCTAGTCTCCTAACTACTCAAAGTGTTTTTACAGTGCAGGTCACACGTACACATTCACACACTGATGGTAGAGGCTGCTGTAAAGTAACCATCAGAAGTTACTAATCACATTCATACGTCTCTGACAAAGCAGCAGGAGCAACTTGGCGTTAAGTGTCTTCCCCAAGGACACATCGGACATGTTGCTGCAGGAGCTCGGGCTCGAACCCCCGGCCTTCTGGTTGAGAGATGACCGACTCTACCCACTGAGCCACAGCCGCCCCAGCTCCACAGTTTCAGCAGCACATCTCTTGGCTCCAAATTGCAACATCAGTGGAATATGTTGGTGCCTGTTGGGAGGGTGATTTGGCTTCACTGTAGAACAACAGAAGGAGACGGATATGCGCTCTCCTTTTTATTATAAACCGTATATATACAGTGGTTGAGCCGAGCAGCTGGTGAGCCAACGCCTTTGTTTGCATTAGTTATCTGAAAGAGAGACACTATGATTTTGAAGCTGCTTTTTGCTTCCTTTGGTTTTAGCATAAAAGTTAGAACACTGTAAAAGTTTAAAAAATAAAAATTGTGGTACCACAGTCTTTAAGTATAACTCTTAACTTAACATTAACGGTTAAGCTTATTGATTATTTGGATGTTAGTAAGAGTTTTTAGATCTCGGTCATTCTGTGTCAATTTATGTGCAATATGAAGCTACGAGCTAACTAAAAGGCGCTAACATTAGCATGCTAACACAACATTGCAGGCCACAGGTGATTGCAGCTCGAACAAAGGGACAATTTTGTCCGACCGCTTGCGCTTAATGGTGTTTGATTATGGTGCGTTCTAATTCATAACTCCTTCATGTGAACTCGAGTGGAGAGGGGTTGGAGGTGTGTCTCTGGAGGAGAGCGGAGGCTTCAGAAAAGCGGAGGTGTGGCCAAACAGCAGTTTGTTTTGGTTTAGCGCTGGTGCTCAAGGGCGACATCTACTGGATCAAAAAGTCGCACATTCTTCCTTTAAAGATAAACTCCCGCACACTGTTTTACTCGCAAACAAACATTTTATCGACACTAGACGTTCATGACCTTCATGCTGTGCCGACTGCAAAACATCTCAGTGATCTGAATGTCTGTGCATCTATAATCAATAAGTGGTAATCGTGTCCGCAGTGTAGAAGAAAAACTGCCACTTCATCTCTGCAGTGGTCAGAGACAACCTCGACAGGGTTTTGCTTCATCAACCAAGCGAGAGTTTAATCAAGTCTACTAATAAAAAAGCTGAAACTAAAAATAGATTGAATTCACACCTCTGATCTCTTCCTCCATCCTCCCCATCACCTCTCTCTCTCTCTCTCTCTCGCTCGCCCTCTGTGTCCCTGCAGTCCAGTTAAAAATCAGTACAGTGTGGGGAGAGAGAGATGGACGAGAGAGAACCAGAGAGCACCACACAGAGAGAGAGAGAGGCTGACGGACTGAACCAAGGTTTGTGTTTTTGTTCTTTAGTTAAATCTAAAATATTTATGTGTTAATTTACATTTTATCTGTTTGAGTTTACGGTCTTAGACATTTTAAAAATCAGTTTATTTGATAATACTCAAGAGTGAAGTTAAAATATTAATTTTTATCTTCTTTTGCATCTCTGCTGTCTTTACATACAGCTGTAAACATTAAACATATTTAAACTGCATTAAAGTTTATCGTCATGTGTTGGACCCAGTTCTCTTTGATGAATCTAAAGCAGCTGTGTGGATTCATTTCATCTGGTTATGGTTTGTTTTACTGTAATAGAAGAGGTCTTTAACTATTGTTCTTTATTTCATTCCTTATAGCTGCTGTGTTGAGTTTCTGGTTTAGTTTTGTGTTTTGTTTATTTCAGTGTTTGATTTAATTTCCTGTGTCATGTTGTCCCTTTCTTCCTTCGTGTTACTTGTTCTCTTGTGTGTATTTTTTTATGCTTTATTTCCAAGTTTAGTCTTTAGTGTTTCCTGTTTTATTTTGTAGCTCTTGTCCCCGTCTTTCTTGCCTCCCTTTGTTTGGTTTCCCTCCGTTGTGATTGCCTCGATTGTCTTCATCTGTCTCTTTAGTCTTGTTTATTCATTGCTTGTTCCTTCCCTGGAAATAATAACTTTTTCTTTTATTGCTTTGAGAACTTCTGATTTTTTCAGAGAAATTTAGCATGCAGGACGTTCAGCCCTGCACTCATTTTGTCATTTAGGTACCACATATATTTTCTATTTTTAAGGATATTTTTTGGTACCTCTTTTCCTTTTTGATTGTTTGTGACTTTAAGAGGCTGAAGATGTTTGGGGGCGTGGTCAGTGCGCTGTGACATCACTGTTTACAGGTGTGAAAGACCAGCAGAGGGCAGTGAAACAAATTGGTGTTACTTTTTAATCAAATGCTTCGTATTCTATGGATGTTTTGTTGTTGCAGATGAATCTGGCTCTGATCCATGACAGAAATCACATCAAGACATTCTGGGAGAAGAGGATCGACTCTGAGTGTCAGCATGTTGAGAGCGAGGGGCAGAGGAGGAACAAGAGCGCACTGAAGAAGTAAGTAACACCATCATCATCATCATGTTTTACACTTCAATAAATCTTCAAGATTTTATCAGTGAGTGTTTTCACACCTGCACAAAACTCGGGAAGTTTTCAGGGTGATCTGCATGTGTGAATGTAAACAGATGAATTTTTCACTCAGACTTCACCCGGAGCTTCTCCTGCCAGCCTCCTCGTTTTGTTTCTGCAGAAAGTCACCTGGACCTAATGGGAGGAGGTGGTGACCTTTATTCTCTGTGATTCATGCACGACCGTAGACTGTCTGCATGTGACCACAACGATCTCTGTGCGCGTAATTAAACGACTGTATAATGTTTTCTGTTCTCCTCTCTTTAGTTGATATCATGATTCTGTCCAGCTACACGTAGCATTGCTATAAACACAAACATTCTCATTCAGATCTGGAGGATTTCAGGGTCAGTCCTCCTGAAATGATCTAGATATTTTCAGAAGTGCAGATGTGAAAACGGGCCATTGACACCTATTATATACATCCCTTCATTTTGTGTAATAAGGTCAGGTGGTCCTCTCTCAGAAAAATATTTTCCATCATATACAGAACCTCATGTCTCAGTTTGACGTTATCAGACACGTTCCTCTGACCAGTTCTTTGAGGTTTGGGAAGTCGGCTTTTCTTATTCTGCACTTTATTCCTGTAGTGTATGAATGAGGACGGAGGTGGTTGTGGGGAGGGCCAGATCACCCAAAAAAATATCCCGTCCAATTTTTTGTAGTCTTTTTCTCACAATCCTAAATTAAATTATCCCTTATAATTGTCTTAAATGTAATCCCCCGGTTTGTCTGTCCCTGTATCTGTGTTCTGCTTCCTTTAATGCCGTGTTGTCTGTCTCTTTATTGCCTCTGTAAATGAGAGTTGCTTGAGTAGATACAATCAGTTTTATTGTCTGGAAAGAAGAACTAGAGTACCATGTTACCTTCCACCAAAACTCAACATGAATGTAGTCCCAGTCGTGGTCGACATGTGACCGTCTGGCTAATAGACGCATCTAAAAACAGATCATCTCATTACAACAGCCCCTCGTCTCTCAGCGAGTCGGAGGACATGGCGGTGTGAGCGCACACACTCACCCTCTCAGACAGTGTGTTTGTTAAAGGTCTCAGTAATGATGATGACTAATGAGCTGGAACGTCTGTCCAACTGAAACCTGAACTCACCACACACACTATAGGCTGGATCATCACTAGTCCAGAGATTTATAATCTGGACAGCTTTGAAATGGTAATTTAATGGATTTGAGCTTGTCTACATCTTTTCTGGTCTTCTGACTACTCAAAGCACTTTTTACACGCAGGTCACACCTACACATTCACACACTGTAACTCATCCATTCAAACACAGTCATACACTGCAGACGAAGCAGCGGGAGTGACTCGGGGAAGGACACATCAGACATGTAGCTTCTGGAGGTGGGGATCGAACCCTCGACCCTCTGGTTGAGAGACGACCGACTCTACCACTGAACCACAGCCGACTTCAGAAGAAGAGGAAAGAGCATCTTATAATTAGTCTATCAATACTAAATCTGACAGAGAGCACAACTGGACTAAAATATTTCAACATCTTCTTGATGGATTGGTAAAAAAAATAAAAATAAATTACCACCAGATTTTACTCACTTTGATAATCCTCTGAATTTCCCTCTGTGACCACCAGCGCTCCAAGATTACTTTAATGCTTAATACTTTTATGGAAATATCCCAACAACTAAGAAGGATTGTGTTGAACATGTGTTCCCAGCAGAAGATTTATAATTTGTGCGCTTTTCAAATCCTTTTTTTAAAGAGTGTAAAGTCATGACAAAAGTCTTCTTTTAAACAGGCAGGAAACTTTTGCAGAACCAGACTCAGTGCTGGGAATTAGGAAGACAGAATAAGAACAGTTTCTCTAACATAGCCTGTTCACACACGCACAAAACATTTGTGCATAAACCGATACATTTTTCACCCAGACTTTGAAGTAGGGGGTTCAGTCGATGTGTGAACTCAGCAGGAAATATTCAGAAAAACTGTAAATGCACCAGCGATGATGTTTGTGTCTTGTGACCAGTGGTGTAGTGCAGAGTTTATACACAGCTTTACTGAGTCTCTATAGGGTATAAACACTTCTAAATCTCCTCTGAGTTACACCATTAACAGATTGACCACATTGAGTCGGATGCTGCAGGATGTTGAAGGGATGACCCTCCGTACTCGTATGCACTGACTAAACATGCTAGATGAGTTAGCTGTTAGTAACACAGGCTGTTTATCCTTCGCTGGATGGGACACTTAAAAAATCCATTCGGGGAAAAATAAGAGGACACCCATTTCTTCAGGCACCACTACACCACTGCTTGTGACTGCATATTCGATGCACTAGTTATACTCTTCAATGCTCCTCAGACTGTTCTTTCCCTCGTGTTTAGTGGTCTTTTGGATTTATCTATCACACATAGCAGTCTCTTTTGAGGTCTTGCCAGCGGGAATCTGACGCTGCGAGGGGACGTGTGTGAAAGGGCAACTCAGGAAGATCTCAGGGTCAGACTGTCCTGGAACTTGTTACACATTTTGAATGGGAGATAGTCTGGACTGAAGCCATTTAAGGCATATACAGTAGAAGCCTATACAACCTCTTATTAAACCTTCACCTCTTAACGTTACATCAGCTATTAGCCGTATCCCTCCTAACCCCACTCTTCTTCTCCTCTATCCCCCTTAACCTCAAAGCCCCTCTTCAGCCCATCACACCTAATCCCCCTGCTATCCATTACTCTGTACCCCTAATCCCCACCCTATCAATACCGTGTATCTCCTAATCCTCCAGCTATCTGTTACCCCGTGCCCCCGACTCTGCAGCTATCCGCCCCCCTCCCCTCCCCCCCTTCGCCTCTAACCCCAGTTCTAGTCCCTGCTAATTGTGTCCGTTATGTGTGACCCGGCTAGAGGCTGGAAAAACATGTTGCAGAGAGCAGAGGTGATAATCACAGAGCGATGACTGATGGAGGCCGGCTGACACACACGCTGCAGCCACGGATACACACAGGCTCAAATTAGAAGATATTCTGCTCTTAATGATAACATCAGGACTTCTGCAGCCAGCGGGGAGACGGCATTAAATTCTTAACATTTCATCGATGCAAAGTTTCCATTTTAGTCGGGACTTAAAATACATCCTTACTTATTGGTCTAAATACAGAACACTTAACGTGTGAGCTGCAAAGATGCTCGACACCTCGATGCAATCTGCAACTTCTGCGATGTTAAAATCCTCCCAGAGAGATACGGCGAAAGTCCAAATGAGACTTTAGTTATTTTATTAAGTAAAATAATCAAATAAGGAAATCATTCAAAGGACACAGTTACTCCAAACTGCTTTAAAACTGTTCCAGCAGAAGTGCTGCAGTTCTTTCTGACCTTACACTGGTTACCATTTAGCTTTAAAACTGGTTCTAATGGGGACGCCGATGGCCTAGCGGTTCTGTCACTCACCTCCTGTACAGAGGCTATAGCGCTTCTCACAGCAGCCGGGGGGGTCAAATCCAACTTCAGCTCTTTGCTGCATGTCATTCCTTACTCTCTCCTCCCAACATTTCCTTTCTCTTCAGCTGTCCTGTTCAAAGAAAAGCTCAGAAAAGAAATAGATTTTAATGGGTCGCCGGGTAGCCTAGCGGTTATCTTGCGCGTCCCCATGTACAGAGGATATAGTCCTCCTCGCAGTGGTCATGGGTACAAATCCCACCTCACCTTTTGCTGTATGTCACCCCCCACTCTCTCCTCTCTCTCTTCAGCTGTACTATCTAAAACAGGCTAAAATGGCACCATATACAAACATCGCACAAAAAGTGGACCACATTTGTAAGGAACATGCATTTGTGGGAAAAGCAGCAGAGCTGAGTATGTGGGTAGCGGCCATGAAAAACTTGCCAAAGCTTCTCTGCCAATGCCAAACAATAAAATGTCCTTCATTTTTGTGTGATGTTTATGTGTCTTCTGTCTCTTTGTGTCCCTCTTTGTGTCAGCCTGTCCTCATGTCTGTCTTTGTGTCTGTCTTTGTCGAGGTCAGGTGGATTGTCAGCAGCTGAGAGAACAAATGGAATAATCCAGAAAACACGACAGGAAGGTGTTCAAGAGATAGTGAGGACAGCTGACAGTGAGCGTTAGGTTACACACACACACGGTGAAGGTGCGTATTTGATCGATGGTGAAATAAAGAAGTGAAGAGAAGCGCTGATGTGACAGTGATAACTCCCCAGCTGTCACATTCAGATACCAGATCTGACTGAACTCAGCAGCACATTCAACACTACATATGAGCTGAGTGCTGCTCTCACCCTCGCCGTGACCATCAACCACATTCACACAAATTCTACCCAAAGCCTCTGAACGATCTGAACTTTTACTAAAAATACGACGTGATCTACACGTATAAAACACGGTGTATCATCAGTGCGTAGTGTTGAAGTCAAGACCACACTAACCGAGACCAAGACTTACCCGAGACCAGAGTGCTCTGAGACCGAGTCAAGACCGAGACCAAGACCATAAAAATGCCGGGGGCGTGTCACTCACTCAGACTGTAACACCGGGAAGGTTGTGGCCGCAATCGAGGGGATAAAAAAATTGAATTATGAATTAATAAATATTATTTGTTTGTTTTAGAAAGAAGCGTTTTCCTCCTAATCACAGTGACGACATGAGACCGAGACCTTCAAAAAGTGGTCTCGAGACTGATCCTTAGACAAAGACCGATTTCGAGTACTACAACATCACCGATGCGTCAACAAATGAACGCTGGCCCGTTTGCCCCCCAGCAGTCGGGTCAGCTCAGATCACCTTCATTTAAAACCGGTAACCATAAGGACGACCTTCCCCTCTGTGTGTTTTCAGGCTGAGGGGGGAGTGGCTGGTGCGTCTGGAGAACCGAACCAAACACCTGAAGAACCTGAACGAGAGCTACGTGAAGAAGGCAAAGACGGAGAAACCAGCTGAACAGACGAACGAAGAAACTGTGTCATCCTAATGTTTGGAGCAATAAAGTGTCTTGTTGGAAAACAAATATCTTGGTGTTCACTATCTGAACTTCCTTTGATTCTGTTGAGTTTAAACTTAACCGGGGAGAATCAATTTTATTTACATACTTTATTAATCCTCGAGGGGAAATTCTGGTTTCCACTCTCTTATTTTAGAGACACGCTTATCACACACAAACAGGACCTGTAGACGTGCATTAATGTGGAGGTTTCAGAGCTGCTGGAAGGAGTACTGGGTTCAGTGCCTCGAAGCCTTGCTAAAGGGGGCCCAAGTACTGAAATCAACAGAACTTCCAGTTACTCACTGAAGAACTGCAGAGGTGCACCAGCTGTCTGTTTGCAAGAATTAAGAAACGGCAGCAGATCATGAAACTAAGAGTATCAGGATGAATCAATTCCAATTCTCTCACTGCAAAAACAACTTTCAACAAAATGTTTGAGACACTTAAAATTCTGTAATTATATTTTGAATGTATGGAGAATAAAAAGGTTTGAATACTCTGCTTGTTGTGGTCTAAAGTGCTTCAATAAATTCTCCAAACTGCCAGGATACCGTTTAAAGGAGCAGCATGTAAGATGTGTAGTGAGTGAGATGATAAAGTGATCTTACTATCTGATCAGACATTAAGGAAACATGCTATGTTGAAGTGCTGGCTTCTCTGACAACAATGCAGCAGTCAGTATGTCCTCCTTCTAACTTTAGATTCTGGTCCTGAATGCTCTGGATTTGTTTGGACCAGAGAAGGTAGGCGGTTTTAAGGCGACCCCCCACACGGCCGTTTTGGACGCCCCTTGGTTTGCCAGATATGAGAGCAGTTATCAGGTCAAACCAACAGGTGTTGCAGCGATGGAAGCGGGCAAGAGAACTGGTTCAGTTAAACGGCTCCGTCCTGATTTCACTCGTACAGTGTGAGCTCTGAGGTCGTGTCTGACAATTGCCTCGTACAGTTTGGGGAACAGAAATCGTGACCTTTGGTCATCCTGTTTCTATAATTATTCTTTGTACACCAAGTTAAAATGTTTAAATTATCTTTTAAAGCATTTTAAAACTCAGAAAAGATGTGAAACTTTAAAGTCAAACATAAACATTTAGGTTTATTGCTCTGTGTTCACATGTTAACTCTTTCAACTCTGAATGATAAATAATTTATTTCACAATAAAAGCCCACAGTTAGCCTGTTTCTTTTCACAATACGTCTGTAAAGGCGAGCACCGCAGCAGTATTATTTGGTCAGTAGAGGCTGTGGACGGGTAAGATCGACATGTTTTTGGTCATTTTCAACAATTTCTCTTTCAGTGTTTTTTTCCGGACTTCACACCAGATGTATCGAGAGTTCTCTACAGGTGGAGGCCGCTCCGTCCCCTTCCACTCCACCTTCTCTCCGTCCTCGTTGCGCTGGACGTGGTCGGGTACCAGAGCCACCAGCGTGTTAAAGCACACGCCGTCAGTCTTCCCGTGCTGCCGGCCGTTGTGCTGCAGGCTGAAAGCGCCCAGCGTGTTGACGTCGTGGTCGTAGTACGCTTTGGGCATGGCTTCCTGCACCACCATGTTGGCCGCCCAGGTCACCGCGTGGGTCTTTACTGCCGCCGCTGTGGGGAGGTGGAGCGCCGGGGCTGCAGGGACAGAGAGGAAGGAGGGACAGGTGTGTACTTAGATGATCTGATAAGATGTAAACACACAGAGATAAGCACAGAATCGTTTATTCTAGCCGTAACTGGAGTCTCCTTAAAAAGTTGATGGAAACTCTGCTGCAGTGCAAACACACCAAAGACCTTAAGAACTTAAGAACCGAGTTTTTTATCTGATGAACATTCAGTTACCTTTAATGACCAGGACCCAGATGTCGTCATTGTTCGTATAGACCAGCACCAACTTCTGCACCACGTGGCGGCAGCTCATGTCCATCGGTAAGGTGACTGGGTGCCATGGATCCCGACGGTACCTGAAAGCAGCACAGAGGCCCGAGACAGATAAAGTATTCATCTCCATTCTCTCTCTATGCAAACAGAAGAATCCACACCATGTTCATTTAAGAAGAGTCTGATTTGTTCCCATGAAATTATGAACAAATAGAAAACTGTAACAAAAACTAAAGGGGGATCGGTTTTTGTAGGAAAAGTGACACCTTACATCTTACACCTCATATTTAATGTATAAGTACAAAGGCAGGGCGACTGCAGAGCATCGTTACAGCTCTCAGGCAGAATCAAAGGGTGAAAAGTTTTTTTTTTTAATGTCCTACTTGAGTCCACAGTCGATGAGTCGGAGGATGTCTCGTCCTCTCAGAGAGAGAGCCGACTGTCTGTCCCACCAGGACGCCTGAAGAGACTCCTGATCTGCTGCTGACAGATTCTTTAAAGTCCCACCTAACACACACACACACACACACACACACACACACACACACACACACAGAAAAACAGCCTGTTAATTTATTTAACACATTGAGGTAGAATATAACTAAATACAAGTTAACACAAACGTTGAAATACTTGAGTGAACATTCGACCGGTTTGGAGGTCAGACTTGGTTTTAATGTTATCATCTGACAGTTTCAGGTTCTGATTAAGTTTAGAGACAAAGAGGAACAAACATGTGAGCGAATGTTTGACCTCTGACCTGTGACTCTGGCCAGGAAGATGAAGCGGATCCACTGTGGTCCCTGCTCCTGGATCAGCAGCAAAGTGATCGGCTCACAATCAAAGCCCGCCTCCTCCTTCACCTGCAGACAAACGGAGCTGTAAGTCTGGACAGGTGAGTGTGTGTGTGTGTGTGTGTGTGTGTGTATTAGATTAATCTCTTCACACATGCACCAAACTGCATGTGTGATCACAAACGATCACCCTGACTTCATCCAAACTTTTTCCAATCAGCCCTCTCTTAAAATATCTGTAAGAAGTCGGGGTGAGCGATGTGAGAAACCAGAAAGTTTAGAACTGAAGAAGCCTTTCGATGGAGAGGTGAAACGTCTTCAAGATCTTCAACCAGTCCAGCTGCCTTTGGATCAAGCGTTGAACATCTCGAGTGAGCAGGCGGTGAGCGATGGCGGTTATATATCATTCATTCGATCTTCATGCACTTGATGAAGCAGCTCCATTCTCTTCCCTGCTTCCCAGTATGTTCTTTCCCCACTCTCTCTTTCATACTGGGAATACATCCAGTTACATGTAGTGTTGATGTCCGGTCTGACGGTGAAAATCTCTCGCTGTGTGTGGAGGTGAAGCCGAGGAAGATTTCAGGGGGCAGCCGCTCCTGAAATGTTCTACAAATTTCCAGAATTTCATGTCTGAAAAGTGCTCACTCATGTCTCACCTCCCTCATCAGCGCCTCCACCAGGCTCTCTCCCACCTCCATCCTCCCTGCAGGCAGGTACCACTGCTTATAACAGTCCTGCTTCGCCTCCTGCACCATCAGCACCTCCTCCTGGAAGACACACACATTTACAATTTAGCTGTAAATTCAGTTTCCGGGTGGTTAACAAGTCTTGACGCCTCCCCAACACTGTTCTTATTGGAAAAGACCTAGGCTACATAGCATTGTTCACTTGTCGACTGTAACGTTTATAACCTTTGAGGCTACAGCAAGAAATGAAAAAGAAAGGTTGGAAAATAATGTTTACATTCATTTCCTTCATTATTGCATTTTTTTTAAACTGACAGAACCGTCAGATTAAAGAAATACCAGTCAAAGTTGTCTTAACCCCGGTGCTAAATCTAAAAGGGACAGGTGAGTGAGGACAGGTGAGTGAGGACAGGTGAGGGAGGACAGGTGAGTGAGGACAGGTGAGGGAGGACAGGTGAGTGAGGACAGGTGAGTGAGGACAGGTGAGGGAGGAGAGGTGAGTGAGGACAGGTGAGGGAGGACAGGTGAGGGAGGAGAGGTGAGTGAGGAGAGGTGAGTGAGGACAGGTGAGTGAGGACAGGTGAGTGAGGACAGGTGAGGGAGGAGAGGTGAGTGAGGACAGGTGAGGGAGGAGAGGTGAGGGAGGAGAGGTGAGTGAGGACAGGTGAGTGAGGACAGGTGAGTGAGGACAGGTGAGGGAGGAGAGGTGAGTGAGGACAGGTGAGGGAGGAGAGGTGAGGAGGAGAGGTGAGTGAGGACAGGTGAGTGAGGACAGGTGAGTGAGGACAGGTGAGGGAGGAGAGGTGAGTGAGGACAGGTGAATGAGGACAGGTGAGTGAGGAGAGGTGAGTGAGGAGAGGTGAATGAGGACAGGTGAATGAGGACAGGTGAGTGAGGAGAGGTGAGTGAGGACAGGTGAGGGAGGACAGGTGAGTGAGGAGAGGTGAGTGAGGACAGGTGAGGGAAGAAAGGTGAGTGAGGACAGGTGAGGGAAGAAAGGTGAGTGAGGACCGTTGAGTGAGGACAGGTGAGGGAGGACAGGTGAGGGAGGACAGGTGAGGGAGGACAGGTGACCTTGTCGTTGAAGATCACAGCAGCGACGATGTAGGTGACGTTCTTCCTCAGAGTTGCAGGTTTGCTCTGATCCAGGCCCACGTCACACAAGGTGACCTCCGACCCCTGACCGCTCATCATCTTCTCCACCTGCTCCTCCACCTGCCTCCGCTCCTCCTCCGACACCTCCATTTCTGCAAGGTAAAGAAAACACAGAAACACGGAGACCACACATCTGTAAAGCTGGGTTAAAAGCTGAGACATATAAATCACTGCTAAGACGTTAATAAATATCAGTTTACGTCGTTACACCTTCAGAACAACTACAAATTCAACAGTCACTTTTTATAAATTCTAATATTTATGGAATTTAATAAAAAAAATATTATTAAAAAATATTGTAATTAATGTTCAGAGCAAAATCAAAGTCACATCCAGACTCTGTAGTAAGGGTGATTTTCAAATCAGGGGAGCAAATATGGTTGAAGAGGTGATTTTACGTTTATTGTACAAAAAGCCCCAAAATGGAGATTTGTTTCACTTGTTGTGGTTTAACAATTTAAATTTAAAAACTCTCCAGAGTTTGATTAATAAGCAGATATTAAAACTCACTGGTAAAAAAAACTATCAAATAATTAAACACTCGTCATGTGATTTCACCAGAAATGTCCATTAAATATTATTATTATTTCTTCTTCTTAAGCCTTTATGTACTTCCTGTGATGTAATGTTACATTAATGCTGTGAAAAGGTCAACAAACCTCATTTATGTTTTTTGTTTTTAGACTTAATAAATATCTAGAGAGAGAGAGCTGAACATGTCACTTAATGAGATAAAGTCTTTAAAACAGAGGAGCTAACCTTAGCGCAACAAAAAACGTTTTTATTTTATTATTAAATGTTTTTCTTTAACCTCCCAAAAGGAAACAAGTTTGACTTAATACTCGAATAATCGGAGAAAAGAATAAATTAAATTAAATCACGAACCTCTCTGTGATTATAAACCGGGTTAGCTTTACATTCGGACACTCGGAGCTTTCTGCTTTGTTTTGACATTTGACACCGACCGGCTGAGCCGGAAGTGCACACACTTTTCCGGTTTGTGGTTTTCAATAGAAAAAGCATTTTTGGGATACGGACTATTTACAGTCAGTGGATATGCTACGAAGGACCTGAACCATAGACCTGAACACACTGACAGTACAGATCGTCCATTTTCTCTACAAAGAAATTCTATGAACAAGTGCTTTCGTTTTTTTACGTCTTCATATGTTTTATTTGTACAGAGGACACATTTGAAAAGGAGAATTTATTTATTATTGTCTTTTTTGTAGGCTTAAAAAGTTAATGCAGGCGTAAGTTCCTGATCCACCCTCCATACCAGTTGGTGGCGGTAATTCACAAAAACGTTGTTTGCAAACAGGCAGAAAACACCAAGAAGAAAATGAATGCATTTTATTTTGAAATCTATTACAGGAAGTGGCATTTTTTTGTAGTCCGATGTGTTCAGTGGTGTCGTAACGTGAAGTAAGGTCAACCAGAGGCTGTTTAAATCAGCTAACACTGCTTTTTAAAGTAAGTCAGCATGCAGCACTTATTTAACATTTATCATAATTAATTATCTTTTGATAAAAACAAACAGCGAACAGTTTGAAAACTCACCGTGTCACACAGGTGAGATAACCATGATTTATCAACAAATATTACAGGAGTTTATGTTGTTTCACTGTCTTTTTAAACGCTATCAGGTGACTGACAGCATCAGTTTTTCATATACTTTTACTCCTATCGACGGTTGTCAGGATACTAAACTTCTTTACGACACTATAAATACTAAAGAAGAAGAAACCAGTTTCGATACCACAGCAACGAAAAGAGAAGTGCTAGGCTCCAAAGCTGGATCATTAGGTCATTATTTGTGTTTCATTACTTTAAAAAGAAGGCAGACTCATGCACATTGTCTAAATTGTCTATTTGGTTTTCTTCTAAAGTCACGTTTGATCACACGAGTTTCTACGGTGGCTGGGAAGTGCAAACCAATTTTAAAAAGTGTGAAACACTTTTACAAATCTTGAGACAAATAAACATATTGGATAATATTTAAACATTTTCTAAATGAAATTACAAAAGCAAAACCCTTGACCAAGGACAAAACTAAATAAACTCTAAAAATGTGCAATCGATTTCCTCAACAAATTATCAAACGACAGAATCTTGACAGAAATGAAAGTGATGGAGTGAGGGGTCAATTAATTTGTTTTGACAGTCACTTCCAGGTCACGTCCAGTATTTTGTCATTTTTGTGTGATGGTTGTTGTCACATCATGTTAATTTAGTGTGTCTTTCCTCCTCCAGACAGACGGACATCAGATCCTCCCTCAGTCCACTCAACACCTGAAAACCTCAGGAGACTTCTCAGCCAATCAGAGCTCCTTCAGTCGGACTGACATGAGTTGTTTCAGCTTTTTGTAAGATCAAAGTACAACGAAACTCAGGAGGCGAAGTGGAGCACTGTGGTGCGTTTAGGGTCCTCTGTGTTCAGTCTTACTATCTAGACTCTTCAGGATTCATTGAACCTTCAGGGCAGGTTTTTATTCTTCAGTCGGCCTTCAGAGGAACAGTGAGCTCCTCTGAGCTCGGCCTGTTGAGTTAAAACTTTGTATTTTTAGAGAGATGTTTGGGTTTTCCAATTCACTTAAATACAGAACGGAGAGACTCCTTTTGCATCTAGTGGACATTAAGGAACTGCAGTTGAAAATACTCTGCTCCCGGCACAGCTTCCTGGTGTCTGTTTAAGTCCGTTTAAGAAGAAGGGTCTCTGGTCTGTTGTGGGCGAGTTTGTGCGATGGCTCGTCACAGTAAGCTACAGAAGCAGGTCCTGTCTCTGTACCGGCAGTTCCTGCGGGCCGGCCAGGACAAACCGGGCTTCATCCCCCGAATCCGCGACGAGTTCAAAGAGAACTCTCGCATCAAGAAGTCGGACGTGATGCACATCGAGTATCTGTACCGACGAGGGCAGAGGCAGCTGGAGCAGCTGAAGGACGTCAACACCAAACAGCTGGGATCCTTCTCCAAACCTGCAGAGAAGAGCTGACCTCACACCTGTGTGACATCACGGGACCCTGAAGTACACCAACAAATACCTCCCAAAGACTTGCTCACTGGTTATGAGACACTGCGTTGAGATTACGGAGAAACTGATGTGATTAACATAAAAGAAGCATGTTGTAAGTGTTATAAAACAGATGTAATACAGCATCACTTTGACTGTTTAGACTTCTGAAATGAATGAATTTGACTTGATGGTGATAATAAACAAAGTGATGTGGACAACACTTGTAAATATGGACTTTTGTACTTCTAGTTGATACATTTCTGTAGCGACTTTCTGTAACAATGACGCCGCTGAGACGCTGACGTTGGGCCTCGTACATCGTCTGACGCGCTTACCACAAAAATCACTGAGATCTGAAATAAATCAGTAACTGTGTTTCTTGGGGAGAAGTTTAACTCTTGGTTGTCTTGCTGTTAACTATACTCTCAGTAGACTTAATTAAATATACCATCAGGTGTGGGTAAGCAAGGACACAGGGACAACTTCTTCTGTGTCTGGAATACTTTAATGTCTATCCTATAGCATGACATACCCAGACTGAACGACGACGACAGTGATGCATCACTTCACTCCTTTTATATATCACTCTGGAAACCGTAACCATGAGCAACCTTAAAGGCAAAGTGCATCATATCAAACAGTGACTTTTGTAATTGTATGCAAAGTACTAAATATAAATATAAATTAGCCTAAACTCAAATAATCTACATCATCACATAAAACTATAAAGACTTCACAAAAATAAATCTCATCTCCGTCTAACAATATGTTTGAGTTTTTATTGATGAAAAAGAGAATTAACTCATGATGACGTGCACAAACTTCAAAGATCTCATTGAGCAAAGAAAAAGTACGGTGACTCTAGATTTTTTTGACAGCTGAAATAACTTTCTACTTTACAGATCAGAGTTTAACAAACATACATTTTACTACAAGTAGTTAATTTTAACTAAAAAAACTAACTTTCTAGCTAGACTCTTCTCCTCTGTCGCCCCCCGGTGGTGGAAGGAAGTACCAAACTCCATTGGATCTGCAGAGTCCCTCTGCACCTTTAAGAAAAAGCTAAAACCCCAGATCTTTATGAATACCTATAACCTTGATGGCGATATTTAGGGTTATTTTGATGCTGATTAGAGCTCTCAAGAACAGCTGTCAATGTTGTGCTTTGCCTCTGGTCACTTCCTGTCAGCACCTGTGTGTCCAATCAGACTTAAATCTGTTTGTTTGCACTTCCTGACGTTGTTTCCTTTTTTCTAGATCCTTGCTTGTGTTGTTCTTACTCTCTGATGTTTATCGCATTGCATTAAAGCGTCTGCTGATTGTTTAGAATTAACTCAATTTTACCTGTTAAGTAACTCAAAACAGATCAAGTAGTTTCACTTTGAAAATGAATGTTTCTACTGATAATATTTAATTTTATTTCACACACTTCTACGGAAGTGAAATCTTAATAGCTCGTTTGCTAATAACAGAGTGTATTTATTATGTGATTTATCTACTTAAACTTCTATTTAATATCTTTCTTAGGACTTGCTTTCACTTGGTAAAGTTTGTACTTGCTGTGACCGATAGGAGGCAGCAGCGGTCTCTGCCGAGAAGACACCAGCGAAGAAGAATGAACGTAAACAGGAAGTGAGACTGTTGACATCCTCGACCCGACAGAATCATCTCTTATAGTATCTCGATATTTCTGTGAAAATAGCCAATTTAGCTGAAACTCTCAGCCGCACATGAGTTTATAAGATTTATATTTCTTCAAAAGTAATCTTAGTTTTTTATAATTTGTCGGTTATTCTTCCGGTTTCCGTTTCTCCGTCATGTCGAGTTTACTGAACTCAGGAGAGATGAGCAACGCGGAGTTATTTCAGCAGGTAAAAACATTTATAACATTTATAAAGTGTTAAAAACAACGCAGGTCATGATGTTTTCAATGTTTATCTGTTGTAAAAAATGTATTTCTGGAACATTAGTAGTCTAAGTGTTGTGTTTTTCAGATGTAATGAGACAGTGTTAAATAATGTCTAGAAGCTAAAAGTGTTTTAAGTGTTTTAGGTTTCCTGGTCTAGACGAGCAGCCAAACATACAGACATATAAAATACATTTTTAGACTTTAAAAGACTCAAATAACAAATTTAAACAGCAAATGTCCATCAAGATCTCCATAAACACATCAGGGAGTGATGTTAAAGTGATCATTTAAAATCCTCTAAAAGCATATTCAGTTTTAAAATGTTCTTGGTAGCTCTTAGCAGTTAAAAGGAGATGTTTTAGAGCTGTTTGTTTGCACTTCCTGACATTGTTTCCTCTTTTCTACATCCTCGATTGTGTTGTTCTTACTCTCTGATGTGCGTTGATAAAAGTGTCTGCTGAGTGAATTGTAGAAGGGAGAAGAAAACTTAAACTTAACTGCATTTTCCCCCAGTTCAGATCTGACTTTCAGGACAGACAACAAGAAAAGGTTAAAAGGGATCGAAGATTGTAAGTCTTTACTGACTGATGAAGGTCAGAAGGTATGAAGGAAGCAGACCTAAAATAGACTTCTTGATCAGAACACACCAGTGTTTAAGTCTACGTGTGGACAAGAAGTTCATAACAAACAGTGAAGGTCTAAAATGAGATCTGAATCTCAGACCTCAGGCGTGTATGTCTAACACATCACTGTAGTCCAGTACAGACATAAAGTACCAGCAACCAGTCTGTTCTTATATTCAAATGAAGGCCGGATTGTTTTCAGCTTTAACCTTTTTACCAGCTGCTGAATGTGAGGTGTAAAAGAGAGAGACTTGTTAATACCAAGATATCTGTAGCTGGAAACAGACTCAGTTTATAATTTAAAGAAGATGAAGTTGGAGGTCTCGACACTCAAAGTGGATCTGATGCTAAGACCGGATAGAAAAGGAGGCTTTATAAGAAGATGGTAGACAGTTAGGGAAAACAAGAACAAGAAAAAACATGACTTGATGAAGAGAAGGATCATCAATCTGTGTAATTTACTAAAATGAATGTTGTCTTCCTGCAGATGGCGCTTCTGCGCTGGTTGAACTCACAGACTGAAGAGGACAGGACGATTTTGGCCGCAGTGACGGGCATTAAGGTGGCCAAAGAGCTGCTGAACCGGATCACGGGACAGGACGAAGTAGACGCCTACAAGGTACCTGAGTGCTGCCTGCTGTGAGCGCGTAGTGGGAAGGAAACGCACTGATTTTATCTGCAGAACGTTTACCCGTCTACTTTGTTTACCAGATAGGTTCAAGTTCTTCAAAATAATTACTGATCAAATTAAAACTAGAGACTGACAGACAAACCGTAATATAAAGGAGCAATATAACTCTGACCCCCTAGAGTTTAAAATGGGTACTGCAGTCTGATTTAAAAACATTGTAGAGCTGTCCCCCCCCTCCTCTCTAGAGTCGATGCTCACACAGGTCACCATGTGGTGGACACTGAAGCTTCAGTGTTTATCCAGCTCTGCATCGGTCTGTAAACCTTTCTGTGTTCTAACCTCTCTCCATTTTTCAAAAGCATCTCCAACTTAATCTTTTAAAACCCGGCATACACTGTAGGATTGTAGAAAAGTCGTGGTTGTGTGTCAGCTCACACTGTGTGAATGAATCGTTTATGACTCACAACTAAAGCTCACGATTTATGTGCAGCGTATGACCTGATTGCTGGGCACGACCTGTGAGCTCACACAGGTCGAGTGAGCTGTGCTGTACACGTTAAATCAGGACGGAAGATTCACAATTATCTATAAAAAAAACTCCAACAGACGGTTGATTTACGTTGTCTCATGGTTCAAATATCCTGCCCACACCGGCAAAAACACTCGCGCTTTCCTTTCACACACACGATCTGCACAACAGCACAGATTAGCTCGACTCAGCAAACACTGCAAGACTAATGATGTGCAATCAAGCTATCTTCAGCCCGACTTTAAAAATGTGGTACAACTCAAAATAAGGTCGTAATCCTGAAACCGAACAGTGCATGCTGGGCTTTCTGGATTGTTCATGAAATGTGATAATTTAATTTGATCTATTAAAACATCTGAGAAGTACTTTTTAGAACGTATACTGAGCCTCTTTGTGTGTCTCCTCAGAGAGAATGCATCCTGGGAATCTCACAGTTCATCAAAGACAACCCGCGAGCGTCAAAGGATCAGATCAACGCTGAGGTGGAGAAGAGAGTTCTGGTTTTCGCTGCTCGAGTCCGAGCTCTGGAGACGGCTCCGCTGTTCTGAAAGAGTCGTTCAATATTTAAACCAAAAACCTTTATATCTGAAACTGAATAATTCTACTCTTTAAAACGTATTTTTACTGTATATCTGTGACATTATTTTATGTTTTTTTAAATGAGAAGCCTTTTAATGAACTGCTTGTGTCAGAAGTTTCCCGTCTCCCTGTGTCGTCTCCTAACAGTCCGGTGACCTGTTTCTCCATGACTCTTCATAAATAAAGCCTCTGTAAACACTCAGCTCCACCGAGTCGTTCTTTAAAGGGAGATGTTCTGGGATGCTGGTAGCGTAGTGGTTAGTGAGCGCCCCCATGTATGGAGGCTGTAGTCCTCCAAGCAGGCGATCAAGGTTCAAGGTGGTAGTTCCTATGCTAGAAAAGGGGTTAGATTAGTGCAGTACTCCAAATCAGCCTTGGTCTCAAGACCACTTTTTGAAGGTTTCATCTCGGAATCAAAATAATTTTTACTTGGCCTTGAACTGGGTGGACTCTGAATTTTAAATCAAGACCACCACTGATTGGCTATTTTTCCATGGCATGACCTTCATGTCAAGGAACACACCCCTTTTCTAGAACAACAAATATTAATTTGTAATTTGCTTGTCTAAGTGAGTGACACACCTCCTTCAAACAGGATGATGATTTTTCTGTGATATTTATGGTCTTGTCTCGGTCCTGCCCTGCTATTGTCCTGGTCTTGACTTGTTCTCAGAGCACTCTGGTCTCGGGTATGTCTCGGTCTTGTTTAGTCTGGTTTTGACTACAACACTTATTTACACTCTCAGAACATGCCATGGAAATTTGCCACTATTTAATTTAAAAATGTTGAGTGTGGGCGGATAAATAAATCAGGTCAGGAATCAGGTCCCAACCTGTCTGCACACGGAGCAGCTCGATGTAAAGTCACAAACAAAACAAGCTCTTAAAATGTAAATAAGTTATAATGACATTAAACAAAGACAACAGGTTACAGGAGATTATTTTCAATCACCAGATGAGAATTAATGAAGTCTGTGACTTTTGTTTAATTACAGATTATTATAAAAGGTGCTCATTTTATTCAACAAGAGTGAAGTAAATATGAATCCAGGGTCTGTTTATACAAAGTTAAACCTTAACCCAGGAGAAGAGCTGCTGTTATTTTTGAACTATCATTTAAAACACAACACAGAAATATGATACAGACGTTTAGCAGCAATGTTACACAAACTGAAGCAAACTACCAATACTTTGAGAAATACCTTCAACACCACAAGATTTCATTCCCCACTTTCTAGGTTTCTAAATTGTATTTTGTTGAGAAGCAGTCAGATTTTCTGCCACAGCTTCACCACCTACCACGGTGCACGGAGAGAGAAAGGCTTGAAGAGGTCAAAACGCTCCAGCAGCACTTGAAGTATGAAGATCTTTAACTTTATTAACTTAGTTAACTTTAACTGAAACACATCAGTCTGATAAAACTCTTCATACTTCACGTGTTGCCCGAGCTTTTTGACCTTTGAATGTTATTCTGTGCAAAGGTTCAGATAATTAAGACTTCTACTGACAATCAGATCAAGAGTGCACTTCAACACGGTCAAGTTTAAATGAAGGAGAGCTGATTTTGAAGCAGAATTACCAGGAAAGAACACAAAAAAAAGTTACATTAAACGTTCTGAAACGCTCTGTGAAACACAAAGTGAAGGACGTACAAGCGATGCTATTTTACACATTCCTTCTCGTGTTTGAACTCTAACCATTAGGAAATAAACCTCAGAACCTGTGCACAGGAGAGAGAGGGCTGTCCGTTTGGAGGACTCTCGTCTTGGTTCAGGGGGCGCGTCCTAACTGCTAGGCCCATGCGCCTTCCTTCTCATGGTCAGACTCAAACCGACAGTGAAAGAACCTGAAGAGATGTTCTGTGTTTGTATCACTGAATGATTCCCCCTGAGCTGTAGAGAAGAAACTGTTGTACAAACACATGAGCCACATGGTGACCTGTGGTTCCTTCCCCACCTTCTCTATCTCCCAGATTTCCAACACTATCCACTGTCCTATCCAAATAAAGACAAAAAGCCCAGAAAGAAATCAAAATGAAAATAAGCTCTTGTTGATTCTCAAAAATCAAAATACTTAAAGTTTGCTTCCAAATGACTTTGAAAACCCCTGAACCGTGTAACCACAATCAGATACAAATCATGCAATTTGATATTTTTATACCATGTCTACTTTGCGAACACATACTTGCAGGAATTTTTTTGCCAAGGGCAACAGAGAATGTAAGAGGGGTGTTTTTTTTTTTTTTTGAAAGACGAAAGTTAGATGAAAATCTAACAAATCATTGTTTTTCTTGTGCATATCAGAGTTGTTAAACAGTCAGTGTGTCCCTCTTTGTTCATTGTAACAATATTTTCCAGCAAGCAGGTCTTATTTCAGCTTGTGGTAGAGGTTTGTATCTGTCTCAGGATTGTTCTGGATCGATGTTAACTTCTCTGACTCAGCTTCCGGTACAGTTGGATGGTCATGAGCTGGATTTCAGGATCTCCAGGTTTGATGTCGATTGCTCTGAGGAAACAGTCCAGAGCTTCGTCCAGGGTCCCTCTGTTGTAGTTCTCCTTCCCTCTGCTGACCAGAGACTCGTAGCTCTCCTTCTCAAACTTGATGATGTGTTGAGCGTCGTCTGTCTTGACTCCTGAATCCACGGTGCACTGATCAATTCCCTCAGAGGACTCCAACTCTGCATCGCCGGTTGATTCCTCCAGGCTGCTGCTCATTTCCTCTTCTGAATTTGGGGTTGTCTCCTCCTCCTCCTCTTCCATTTCCTCCTCTACTTCCTCCTCATCTACTTCCTCCTCCTCTACTTCCTCCTCATCTACTTCCTCCTCCTCTACTTCCTCGTCTCCCTCCTCTCCCTCTGTGTTTAATGTCTCTCCAACAGTCTCCTCCAGTTGAAGCCCATCATCAGTCAACCCGATGATGTCCTCCTCTTCAGCTTCATCAGAACGACTCTCTGACACCTCAGCGTCATCCCCCATGTCCGACTGTAGGTCATCAATGTCCTCGATGATGGACTGGTGGAGGGACCGGCGCGAAGCCACAGACGTGTTTAATCCCACGCTCTTTCTTGACCGCAGAGGGGTGGAGCTGCTGGGTGCTGATTCAAAACATGGAAAGATTCAGTTGGCTCTTTTCTTCCTGCCTTTCGTCATCGTCACCGTCTTCTTCACTGTCATAAATCACTGCTGCTTTTTTCTTCTTGGTAACTACAATGGAAATGTTCATTGAATCGGCCATTTCTGAGTCTCTTGTGCTGTTGAGGCTTTGCTCAAGTGCTTCTTTATGATGTCTCTCAGAAAGAGATTTATTCACATCAAAACTCCCCTCCATCTGCAGCTGTGACAGCAGCTTCCTCTCCTCTGCTTCGGTCTCCTGATGGTCCGGGGCTTCTTGATCTGACATGTCACTGTCCTCGAGCTGCAGATTGAAGTTGCCTTCGAAGGAGTCGAGCCCACTGCTGACTCTGGACGAGGTGTTTGCTTTGAAACTTGTGTTGGATGTCTGCAACACAGAGAGTCTTTTGTTCTGCAGAGGTGTGACACGTGGAAAAGCAAAGTCCATCTTGGAGTCGTTTTTTGAGTTTGCTGTTTCATTAAGCGGTTCATCATCTGCAGTCACATAAGAAGGACTACCATCACCTGCTGAACCAGCTGCAGCCTCAGATTGGTCCATTGGTTCGTGAATTGAGGCTTCAACAGCCTCAGTGGCGTCCGACATCACCAGAGACTGATCGATCAGCCCCTGAGGAGAAGCGTCTGATACGTCTAGGTAACTCTTCTCCTGTTTTGCAGGTCGGTGGTTTGAAGAATTCAGGTCCTGCTGGGGAACGCTGTCTTGGCTAATTTCTTCAACAGGTTGTTCTGTCATACTCTCATCTGCAGTCAGATCAATAACTCGGTGATTCAGACTCTTTGGGGTGTCCTCCTCTTTGCCAGAACTTGACTGGTCCAACTCCACCACAACTGGTGATCTGTTAAAGTTGATGTCATTTTGCGGTAAGGAGGGACTTGGTCTTGAAATTCTCTGTTTTTTCTCCTGAGACCGCTCTCTGTTGTTGTTGTCCGCTGGTTGTCTGAGCCATGCTGGCTCTGTGCTCGACGCCATATTCTCCGCCAGCTGCATTTGAAGCTCTGATTCAGCCTTCATCAGCTCCTGGGCCTTCTGCACCCTCCCTTCGATGTAGTTCGCCTCTTCACCTTCTGGCGCTTCATCGTGGTTCATGTCGAGGGAGAACATGAGGTCGTGGTCGGAGATCCCAAACATCTCCATGGAGTAGAGGTGGGCGATGTGCTCGTCCAGTTCGGGGTCGGTCCGTCTGTGTCTGGAGTGCAGGGCCTGAAGCTGAATCTGCGTGGAGGAGGAATGCGTGTCCTCAAGAGTGAAGAGCTCCTTCAGCTCCTGTTTGCTGAAGTACCGAAAAGGGTTCTTTTTGTCTCCGGTATTCTGCCTGATGAGGGAGTCTTTGAAAACCTGCCTCCTGTAGATCTTCTCCTCCACAGTGCCGCACGTGATCAGCCTGTAGATGACTACGTTTTCAGTCTGGCCGATGCGGTATGCCCTGTCGACGGCCTGGGCGTCTGTTGCCGGGTTCCAGCTGGGATCGTATATCACAACTCTGTCGGCTGCCGTCAAAGTGATGCCCACTCCTCCGACCTGGGTGGTGAGGAGGAAGACAGTGTAACGTTTGTCGGTCTGGAACAGCGTGATGCGCCTCTCTCTTTCTGCGACATGTGTGATGGTCCCATCCAGTCTTAGAACTTTGAAGCCTCTATTTCCCAGGATGCGTTCAATGATGTCAAGAACCTTCCTGTAATGAGCAAAGACGAGCGTGCGGTGGCCTTCATTTCTGAGCTGTTCAAGGAGTGCAAACAGAAAGACGAGTTTCCCCGACTCGGATATTAGAGTGTCGTCAGGAACGTTAGCAATGCTGTTAGGGTCTGTCTCCGTGTCGTCGTTCTGCTGACCCTCAGACATGTTGTCCTCCAAGCCTAACTTGGAAATGGCGGCAGCAGAGAGCAGTCTCGGATGGTCGCAGAGTTTTTTCATAATGGTCAATTCAGCCAGAGGTGATCTGGTGGTCATGAGCAGCTCCTTGATGTGGTCCAGAGAAATGAACTGCCTGTATATGTCTTCCTGAACAGAACTCAAGAAAGTCCAGACAATCAGGTCGTTCTTTCTCGTCAGATCGGGCATGACTGCTCCAGAAACTTTTGAAGAGGGAAGGTCTGGACTCTCCTTGTTGTCGGAATTTTCCTCTTTGCATGTTTGTTTGCCATTCATTTTGTCTTTCTGCACTTCAGCTTTTGTTCTGCGGAGGAAGTAGGGTTTTATGATGGCCATGAGAGTCTCAGACATCCGAGACCCGAGGACTTTTTCCCCTGGAGTGGCGTCTTTCTCTCTGGCGCGGGTGATTGGGTTCTCATACTCTGTTTTGAATGTCTTGGCCGTGCCAAGCAGAGTGCCCTGACAAGCATAGTCAAAGAGCGCCCACAGTTCTTTCAGGTTGTTCTGGACTGGAGTCCCTGTGAGAAGAAGTCGGTTTTTGGAAGGTATGGCGGAGGCACTTTTGGCTGTCTTGGTGGTTGATGTTTTTATCTTGTGTGCCTCATCCAGGATCACATAGTCCCATGTGAACTCTCTTCCGTTGTGTGATGACAACTGCTGCCAGTTGTTCATAAGCATGGTGTAAGTTGTGATGATGACGCCGCCTCTCCGCTGAACTTTCTCCAAATTCCTGTTCCTCTCTGCTTTGCTGGTTCCATGAAAGTCTTTGACCCTCATCCCAGGAGTCCATTTGGCGAACTCTTTGGTCCAGTTTGTGATGAGTGAAGTCGGCATGACCAGCAGTGCGCTTTTGACCAGCTCTTGGTCGTACATTCCAGAGAGGAACGATATCACCTGAATGGTTTTACCAAGGCCCATGTCGTCAGCCAAGATCCCCCCTTTACGCCCGTCTCTGTAGAGACTGTACAAGAAGGCCACTCCGTTTCTCTGGTAGTCGTAAAGCTTGTCGTGTAGCTCTTTGAACAGCATCAATCCACTGTTGTTTACGTTGACAAACTCTTCCTCGTCCTCAGATTCATCCTGAGAAATAAGTTCTTCAATTTTCTTTATCCTGCTTTCAAGTTTTTGACTCTGTCGGATTTTATACGCCATTTTGAAGAGCTCCAGCGCTTTGCACATGTCCCCTTGTCTGGCAACATCTTTAGCGTCCTGAATGAACCTGAAAGAGGAGAAAAGGACGGGGCATTAGAGGGTATTTCATTTTAACTGAAGACAATGTTGTCTAGACTAGAGCTCTAATCAATGATCCATCTCATTAAATACTTCTGTAAAATCTATATGTATCAATCTTGAGGAAATCTTTTCATATTGTTTGATCTGTATGATGACCTTTTAAAAAACTAAAACAAATGTCAGGTGATGAAGAAAAACATCAAACTCGCCCATTTGAGAAGCTAGTATGATTCAATGATTTGGGGTTTTGCTTTAATAATCTTTAACATCTCTAGTTAATAGAAATATTTGCCGATTCATTTTCAGATGACCATCTTATCGGTTAATCTCTGCAGGAAGTGTTGAAGAGCAGAAACAGAAAAGTGTCATTAATGACCAGATATATTTTAAGTTTAACAATAATAACACTCTGCCATCTGCTTTCTTTTACAAAAAGTCAAATAACACGTTTTTGGTTATTTAAGCTTTAAATGATCAATTCTTATTTGATGCTTGTTTTTCCCTTTTACCCTCTGCTGCTTATCATCAGGTGTATTGTAGGGTTTTCACAAAGTTAGACTCTAAATCAAACAATATTCATATCGATTTCAATACCATGGCATTCAATATTGGATATTTAAAGACCAAAAATGTAAGCGACCTCCTGAACACGGTCTAAATTGCAGAAATATGTTGGCAATGTCAATGTGCAGCTTACACAGTGATCTGTCTTTCTCTTGCGGTAGCTTTCAGTTAAAATATGAAGTTTTAATTTTAAATCTCTGGTATGTTTCTATATCGGTCATCGATCACAGATTTTATCGTTACAAAGAGTATTAATGTCTCTAAACTTTTGTCAACCTTCGTGAACCTTACTATCCAACATCCCTGATGCCCAGCCACCCCCATCGGACTGTGTCGTCCCCACAACCACCGCTGTCTTCATTCATGCACGGCCTGCTCCGACCTCCACCTCAGCGGAGAAGAAGTGTGGACAACAGGAACGTGAGGAATACAAAGGAGAGATCCTTCCAGCATATTATCCCATCTCCCCCTTCCCATGTTTCTTTTGTAACATAACAATGAGTAAGGTCGGGCGGCTGTGGCTCAGTTGGTAGAGTCGTCGCCTCTCAACCAGAAGGTCGAGGGTTCGAGCAACATGTCAGCTGAGCAACATGTCCGATGTGTCCTTGGACAAGACACTTAACCCTGCATTGCTCCCGCTGCTTCAGTGGCGGTGTATGAACGGATTAGTGTTGTACTTACTCTCTGATGTACGTTGCTTTGGATAAAAGCGTCTGCTAAGTGAATTGAATTGTAACATGTAAGGTCTTTTACCTACTTTTTGTAAAGCGTCTCGAGATAACATTTGTTATGAATTGGCACTATACAAATAGAGATCGATTGACTGATATACCTGTAAATTCCATGGTGATGGTTTTGACATTATTTTCCTTAAAAACTAAAATGTAGAGTTACACAAAAGTAAACCTGTTCAATCATCACTTCTGGGCCTCCATACATGTGTGGGGGTGACTGTGTCTGCAGAGACTCTGACTGTTGACTTGGGGCATTTCTGGACGGGCAGTGGACGCCAATGACAGCTCGCAGGTGAGTTTGGGAGTGATTACAATTCTGCAAATGGACGCCTTTTAAACCGGCGGGGGGGAAATGCAAAGGTGTCTAATGCAAAGGAGAAATCTGTTGGACTTGTCACCCTCTGGCAGGCACTACAGGTCCATCAGCACACAGACAAAAACACATTTAAGGACAGTTTCTTCACCCAGACTCATTGTTGTCAACAGAAACTGAGAGTAACTGAATGCAGATTTGGAGCAATCCTTCTTGACTAATCAGCACCTTCAATATACTAAGACCATAGAGTTGCTTGATTATGGCAAAAATCTTAATGAAGATTAATTTAATTTACATTGAGATCACGCACAAAATGACAGAAGTTTTCATCATTACCTTTGGTAGGCTTCCATCTGATCATCTTGATCCATGCTTAAAGACCTGCAAAGACAAATCAAAAATTAAAACAGAGTAAAAATCTACGTTAATCAACAACTAAAACAAGCAACAAACATTTATAATTTTTCAGCCAAGTAATTATCCAGCTGTGCAGTTTATAAAAAACAGATCGAATAATAATGAAACCCAAAAATAGAATCCTCAACAAAACATGAATATAAAGTTTGTATTGTTGTTTTTTTTAATGTTTTGCTTGCTTTTTATTTTTTGTGGTATTCTGTTAGAATTACAATACATTTATTCATACGTCGCTTTTCAAGACCTCAAAGACACATTAGTTAATAGAAAGATCGAGACATCACAGTGAGAGCAAACTAACAAACAGCTTAACAATATATTCAGGTCAAATAACCCTCACACATTAAAAGCTTGTTTGAAAAGGTGAGTCATGAGTAAAGATTTGAATGTGGATGCGTCAGTGCAGTGTTGAATATGTGAGGGGAGTGAGTTACTGAGGGAGGGGGGGCAGCTCTGGTCCGGTGCTTGGTTCTGTGCGGTGGAGACAGGAGGTTGGCTTTGGACGAACAGAGAGGCTATGGGTGTGACGCAGAGGAGATCAGTGAGGTAGGAGGAGGGGGCCTGGTGGTTGAGGTGCAGGATTTTGAATTGGATGCAGTACAGGACAGAGAGCCAGTGGCGATTTTATGCTCACTTGCATTAAACCATTCGCCCAGGTGGATGACACTGCCACAGCTAGGTGTTTGTTCTGCCCTCTGAGTCTGCCTTCTCACTTTAAATAGAGCAGGGTGTGTTGTGCTACAGCTCCATCAGTAGACAGACAAAAACAGATTTAAAGACATTTTCTTCCCCAGAGCCAAAACCACACTGAACTCAAACTTTCAGTTTACTGATCCAACTCCGCTGTCACAAGCACAGATACAAGAAATCTTTCTTACCGAAGGCCATAACTCTGTACAACAGCTCACCTCATGCGAGCAGAGAACTGTCTTCATGATCATATCTGTCTCTCCTTTACTGTCATCTGTTCTGCACGTGTTAAATTTACAAATTCTCCCTGCACTCATGTTCACTTCATTTGTCTGTCTACTCGCCGTTATATTGTATAGTTTCTGCTTATTATATGTTTACACTCATGCACTTTAACTTATGTCAGTACTGTCCATTTACAACTCTGTTTTTGCACATTTACATTTAATCTTCCATATTTAATCTTCCTATTTAAGTAATGTTGAGTTAAATCCTGGTTGTATATATTCACATTCTTAGTTTTGATATTTTTAGTGCTTATTTACTTTGTATTTAATATTATATATTCTATTGTAAACATGCAGGGACTCTCTCTCTCTCTGTTACATGTTGGCAGCAGTAGATGAGAACAAACTATGAGCGCAGACTTAACGACACACACACACACACACACACACACACACAGACACACAGAGACACACACACAGAGACACACACACACACACACACACACACACAGACACACACACACACACACACACAGACACACACTCTCTCTCTCTCTGAGTCATCCCTCCTCTCCTCTCATCCTCCTACTGTTACTTATGCAATACATATAAAAGGTTTTTTTACTTGTTTTAAGCCACTTAAATGTGAAATATACATTATCTGCTGTAAATATTTTATATAATATAAATAAAATATAAATATGTTCTTCTTCTCCTACTTTAATGTTGGTGCACTTGAAGAGGTGATTATAAAATGACAAATAACTTGTATTTCTGAAACCAGAGTCAGGTGTGTTAAGTACAGCTCGGATAATTAAACATCTTATAAATCAACATTATAAACTGATTTATATCACAGTTTGTGTTACAGTGACTGTTAGCATGTATGCTAAACGTTAGCTTCACTTACTTTTCCAGTTTCTCTGAAATCTTCAAAACTCCGTCATCATGTTGAGAAACATCCATCCTGAGGGCGGAAGCTCCTCACCGACAAGAGGGAGAGAATAACGCGGTGTTTGGACGTATTTTAAGTCCTTAAAGAGAACACTAACAGGTGACTGCTGAAGGACCGACTGAACCGTAAACGTGTGTTTTTGTGTTTGAACAGTCGCCTCTTCGCCCCGCCATTTTCCCCAACGAATCAGAGAGGACGGTGGAGTGACGCCTCTGCCGGGTTGTCCAATCGGAACAACGAGTAAATTAGTAGGCGGGACAAAACAATGCGCAGCCAATGAATAGCCTCGATACTGGATAGAGACGGAAAGTACGGTGGCCGTGAAGTGCGAAACACGACGACAAATGACCAAACAACATCAAAATCAGAAAAACCAACAAGAAAATAGGAAAAAGGGATTTGTTCGCTTTTTCTTTGAACTGGATTCATATATTAAATTTGTAATAATGTTCATTTCCCTAAAGAACGCCCTTTTGAGATAAGCTAGAAAGAACAACCCAAAGATTTTAACTTTTTTTTTTACAACACTCTAATAATATACAAGATTGTACATTTTGGACTTTTGACAAAACAAAAAAAGAGTTTTTGGACTTTGGTCGTTTTGTAAACTTATTATTTTTGTATGTAATGTTTTGTTATTGTAACAATGATAATATTTACTAATAATTTAATATATCTGTCTTTTCTGACTCCACACTGGATCATGTTTTATGAAAGGAAGTGAAAGCAAAGAAGAAACATGTCTCTCCAAATTCGAGGTAAAACACGGGCTGGATGTAAAAGAGAAAACGCAGTAGTTCTCCTCATACTTATCTGTTTCTTTAACATGTTAACATTTATAATATTTAATTTGATTTAAATCCAATGGTTCGCTAAACTGTCAGAAGGAAAATCAGGTCAAACCACAAGCAGATTGAGGGTTTGTTTGTTTGGTTTTAATTATCTGAAGTAATAAATTAAATTGAGAATGTACATTGTTGTATCCTGTAATTATGAAGTACATATTGTGAGTGTTTCTGAGTGTAAAATGTAAAATTTAACAACAAACACGAGTCTGTACCTGCCATCGTGGTGGCTGTGGAGAATTCAGGAAATTTCCTGAAATGAAACTGAGTCCCTCGTTTCCCTGGTTCATGTCCCAACATGTCAGATCTGTCAGGTTCAGTATTGTTTTTAAGAGAAGTTTGCTTATCGGCTGTAAGAATATAGATGATATGAGACAGGGTGGATACGTGTAATGTTGGGACAGTGACTAATGTGGGACACCTTAAGCTTGAGTGCATTTATCTCTTTCTCTAAAACATTAAAGTGAACATGATGAGTGATGAATCTGAGCAGGGGTATCATGTTAGAGAATCTGTAAACAGGAAGTACTTCTTGTGAAATCCACTCTAAGCCAGTGACATGTTTTTTTTTAACTAAATCAAGTATATAAATCTGTCATGAATAAATAAATAAACTTCCCTATTTGTCATCAGATGATCGTGGGGATTTATTTGTGGATCAAATGATGCAAAAATGTTGTGAAAATGTGTTGGGGTATTTTTTTTGCATTGTGCTTGCCCTCCGTCCCATAGACTGTAAATATTACTTATTGATATTACTCAGGCTCCGTCCTGACCAGATTAAGATAAAGTTATGATGTGCACGAGGGGGCGCTCGGTTTGCTCAGCTGTACAGCCCCGTTAGTGGCGCGTGCGCAGCTGGGGCGTTTTTTTTCTCTCCAGCTGGAGATTATTTTGGTGACGTCACCAGAAACTAACACTCACCAACTTCTGGTTTTAGTCGTCGGACTTCAAAACAAAAGCCCGAGTAGATGCTTCTCACTTCATAGTGAGAAATCTGTAGCAACATTTAAAAAAGTGTTTCAGTGTTATTATTTTTATTTGACTCAACTCTGACAAGTTTTGATCAATAAAAACATGAAACATCATAATATCTAAATTCCTAAAATTTAGAACATTGTTTTATCTTTGCATGCAGTCTGAATTTAATTGTTTATGTGATAATAATACGGTTTCTACAGGTCAGATACATACAAAGAGAAAAAATAATAAAAAAAAAATAATCCAAAGTTAAGACTTTAAGACGAAATCCATGATCATAATCAGAAATAATAATTATTCCCGGGGGGAAATTATTATATATTAGTTATTAAGGGGACAGTTCTCTCCCCTTTTCTCTTCACCCTGTACACCTCGGACTTCTGCTACAACTCTGGGAGCTGCCACCTGCAGAAGTTCTCCGATGACACAGCCATCGTGTGGTGTGTGTCTAAGGGGAGCGAACAGGAGTACAGGCAGGTCATCATGGACTTTGTCGACTGGAGTGAGCTCAACCACCTTCAGCTCAACGCCAGCAAGACAAAGGAGATGGTGATTGACTTCCGCAGGAAGTCACCCCAGACTGCACCGGTGAACATCCAGGGCTTGGACATCGAGAGGGTGGAGACGTACAAATAGCTGGGTGTTCACCTCAACAACAAACTGGACTGGTCACACAACACCGACGTCCTGTACAAGAAGGGCCAATGTCGACTTCACCTGCTGAGATGACTGAGGTCCTTTGGAGTGTTTAGGACTCTGCTACAGACTTTTTATGACACTGTGGTGGCGTCTGCACTTTTCTATGCAGTGGTCTGTTGGGGAGGAGGGAACACAGAGAGAGACAGGAAGAGACTGAACAGACTGGTCAGGAGGGCCAGTTCTGTCTTGGACTGTCCTCTGGACTCTGTAGAGGAGGTGGGTGAGAGGAGGATGTTAGTGAAGCTGACATCCATCATGGACAACCCCTTTCTGTTTAATCAGACTGTTTAATCAGACTGTTTAACAACATCACCACCTCATGCTACACACTGTGTGTGTTTTTATAAGAACAAGTTACTGTGTAATTTTACATTATTGTATTTTTTTATTTTATTTAAATTATGTAAATATGTTTGATCTGTTTTTAACTTCTATTTTTATTTTTTTTCTAAGTATATTCCCGTCTCCTGTTTTCTGGAGCTGCTGTAATGCACAAATTTTCCCCACGGGGATCAATAAAGTTTATCTTTATCTTTATATAGTTTAAATTCAAATTCAGTTATTATATTAGTCTATATTATATAACATTTAATTATATTACACTATATTGTTCATATTGCACTATATTATATTATATTATATTATACTACATTATATTATATAACTGCACTCTGCATTACTGTGGTACAACACTGCCTCTCTTCTCTGCTGTTTACATCACTTGCTGCTCTTTATCATACCAAGTCACTTTAATCATCACTTGTCACTTTATCTTGTCATTCTGTCTCAACTCCCTGCATAGTTAACTTCACTATTCACTTTGTACTCGTGTATATACCCCCTGTTTTTATTTATCTTATCTATTCTGTTTAATGTTTATTTTGTATTTTGAGCTTTCTTGTCTGTGCTGCTGCAACGCCTGAATTTCCCCTCTGGGGATCAATAAAGTATTATCCTTATCCTTATCCTTAAATTCGGTCGTTACAGCTGCTCTTAAACACAGTGTAGCAGTAGGAAATGTAGAATATGTATTTTATTGTATTTTCAACCACACCTACACATTTACAAACGGATGGCAGAGGCTGCTATGTAAGGTGTTCATCAGTATTATCTAATCCATTCATACACATTTAAAACGAAGCAGCGGGAGCAATGAGGTTGAATGTCTTGCCCAAGGACACACTGGACAAGTGGCAGGAACTGGGCATTGAACCCGTCCTTCTGGTTGAGAGACGACCCACTCTACCACTGAGACACAGCCACTCTACTTTACTGTTATCAGACATGACAAGAACAGGAAAAAGCAGCTCAATTAGTTCTTCAATCAATACAAACTTTGACATATTTTGTATATTTAAACATTCTTTTTTTAATTTTATATTACATTTCTACATGTATTGTATATATGTGTATTAGTCATTTTTGATGGCCTTGCAGAACAGTCTTTACATTTCACTGCACATCTGTATGAGTATGTGACAAATGCACAGCTCCTCCATTGCACATTTTGTACTTTTTTTTTTTTTTTTACATTTTTTACATTTTTTAATTGTATAATGTATATATTTGTAATTGCTTCTTATATTTCATTATTTAATCTCTTGTTATTTTTGCTTTATTTTCCTTCGTTAATGTTTTTTTGCACCAAAAAAAAAACACCGAACTCTTATTTTGAAGTGCGTCACCGGAAGCAGTAAATATTCACGCTAACTTTAGTCTGGTTTAGATTCCAGTCGAGTTTACAAGGAGAGAAATATCTGAGGACACACTTTACTGAACCCGGGTCGAACAGACGGACCTCCTAAAGTCCTTTATTTTATTTTATTAATACATTCAACAACTAACAACCTCCAGAGGCAGACATTTTGGATCAGACCGTCAGCTGCTGTGACTGTGGATCATCAGCTGGGACGGGAATGGCTCGGCCGAGGAAGAAAACCTCTCCGGGGTGTTTAGCATGAGGCTCTGCGGAGGGAAACGGCTGGACGACAACACTGAAAACTACATTAATAACAACAACAACAACAACAACAACAACAACAACAACAACAAGGAGAAGAAGAAACAGAGAAGCAGAAGGGGGAGTACCGTGGTGTGTGTGAGAGCTGCCCGGTGACATTTAAATTCCACCAGAAGAAGAAGAAGAAAAAGAAAACGATGGGAGGAAGAGTGGAGCTGCTGCTGGAGATCTGCTGCCTGCTGCTGCTGAGCGGAAACTCACACTGCAGAGGTGAGGAAGGGTACTAAGAGGGTGAGGAAGGGTACACTGAGGGTGAGGAAGGGTACTATGAGGGTGAGGAAGGGTACTATGAGGGTGAGGAAGGGTACACTGAGGGTGAGGAAGGGTACACTGAGGGTGAGGAAGGGTACACTGAGGGTGAAGAAGGGTACTATGAGGGTGAGGAAGGGTACTATGAGGGTGAGGAAGGGTACACTGAGGGTGAGGAAGGGTACTATGAGGGTGAGGAAGGGTACTATGAGGGTGAGGAAGGGTACACTGAGGGTGAGGAAGGGTACTAAGAGGGTGAGGAAGGTTACTATGAGGGTGAGGAAGGGTACTATGAGGGTGAGGAAGGGTACACTGAGGGTGAGGAAGGGTACTATGAGGGTGAGGAAGGGTACTATGAGGGTGAGGAAGGGTACTATGAGGGTGAGGAAGGGTACACTGAGGGTGAAGAAGGGTACTATGAGGGTGAGGAAGGGTACACTGAGGGTGAAGAAGGGTACTATGAGGGTGAGGAAGGGTACACTGAGGGTGAAGAAGGGTACTATGAGGGTGATGAAGGGTACTGTGATGGGGAGTGAGGGTACCATGAGGGTGATGAAGGGTACTGTGAGGGTGATGAAGGGTACCATGAGGGTGAGGAAGGGTACTATGAGGGTGAGGAAGGGTGATGAAGGGTACTATGAGGGTGATGAAGGGTACTATGAGGGTGATGAAGGGTGATGAAGGGTACTGTGATGGGGAGTGAGGGTACGGGGTAAACTCAGAGTGAACAGTGATGATGATGATGCTATACTGAAGGTAAGGAAGAGTACACTGAGGATACAAGGAGTAAGTGAGGGTAAGCTGAGGGTGAGGAGGAGTGAACAGCGAGGATGAGGAGTTGTATACTGAGGGTGAGGAGGGTGATGTGTGTGTGTGTGTGTGCTGACTGTGTGTTTCTCATCACTGTCTCAGCAGTCAGTCATTCAGTACAGAACAACATCCCACTGTATTCCACTTCATCACTGCAAACTGCAAACTGTACTACAAACTGTACTGCTTAACGTTAATACACGACTTCTGCAGAGCTGCCAGTTCACCTATTTCTCTTCACTCTGCTCCTCTCTCTCTCTTCACTCTGCTCCTCTCTCTCTCTTCACTCTGCTCCTCTCTCTCTCTCTCTCTCTCTCTCTCTCTCTCTCTCTCTTCACTCTGCTCCTCTCTCTCTCTTCACTCTGCTCCTCTCTCTCTCTTCACTCTGCTCCCCTCTCTCTCTCTCTCTCTCTCTCTCTCTCTCTCTCTCTTTTCACCCTGCTCCTCTCTCTCTGTCTCTGTCTCTCTCTTTTCACCCTGCTCCTCTCTCTCTGTCTCTGTCTCTCTCTCTCTCTCTCTCTCTCTCTCTCTCTCTCTCTCTCTGTGTCTCTGTCTTTCTCTCTCTCTCTCTCTCTGTCTCTCTCTCTCTTTCTCTCTCTCTCTCTCTCTCTCTCTCAGAGCCAAACTCAAAAATGAGTGGTTAACAAAACACACAACTGTGTTTATTTTGTTATGCAGAAAATTCATTAATTTCACAAACAGGTAGTTTGTTTTCATGTACATGTTGAACTTGTGCAACTGACTGTTACTAAAAGAGATATCGATATATATCGAGTATCGCCATTCAGTGAAAAAATATTGAGATGTGAGTTTTGGTCCATATCGCCCAGCCCTACTAAACAGTATTACAAGTGAACACATTTTACTGTAGGGATAGTAAATAAAGAACACAGCAATACAAATATCGTCCTAGGCACCCAGTACGTAGTTCCTATTTTTAATGGACAGGAATTGAAAACAAACTCCTGCACACTGACTGTCTACTCGGCGGCAGGAGCTGTGTGTGTGTGTGTGTGTGTGTGTGTGTGTGTGTGTGTGTGTGTGTGTGTGTGTGTGTGTGTGTGTGTGTGTGTGTGTGTGTGTGTGTGTGTGTGTGTGTGTGTGTGTGTGTGTGTGTGTGTGTGTGTGTGTGTGTGTGTGTGTGTGTGTGTGTGTGTGTGTGTGTGTGTGTGTGTGTGTGTGTGTGTGTGTGTGTGTGTGTGTGTGTGTGTGTGTGTGTGTGTGTGTGTGTGTGTGTGTGTGTGTGTGTGTGTGTGTGTGTGTCTGTGTGTGTAGAATGACTCAGTAACATGGTTGTTATTGCGGAGGAAGGTCTTCAGGATGAGACGTGACCCCTCTGCGAGGTTTTGTATTGTCTTTCTGGACTTTTTGCCTGCAGTGAGGAATAACGGGCACAGGTCGGACTCGAACCTCGGCTGCCCTCTTGGAGGACTGTTGCCTCTGTACGTGGTGTGTGACCTTACTGCTAGTCCATCTGCGCCCCCATATTTTGGACTCTTCTGAATTAATTTTGATTTAAATTATTGGATCATCTGAAGCCACCTGAAAATTAAAACCTGAAACAAACTGCAGCAGTCACTGGTATGATCTCTAAAGTGTGTCGGACTCAGAACTGTAAAAAAAGAGCAGCAAAAGATTCAAAATTTCCCTCTGAAATGTGGTGGGTTTGAGGTAGAGGTGGCAGCACAGATGTTAGACATGATACTGTTTTGGAGCTTTGACTAAGTTTACAGAGTCTGCGTATGCTGCACTGACAGACAGGAATGAGTTCTGAATAAAGTGTGATTAAATGATTGGTTCGGTGTTAATCGTGTTTATTTTAAAACAACGTTCACCAGTTTATTTGCAGCCTTAAAGGTGCCTGGCTTGTTCATGTATTTGAGTAAAAACAGTTGTTTATCTTCTTCTCCGTTGCAGCTGTGTGATGTCCTTTCACTGCTTTTAAAAAAAGGATTAGAGACACTGCAGGTCCTTTCTAAACAGTTGGATTCATTGACATCATTTCATCGTCTGTGATGTGTCACCATGCTCTTGGTGCTTGCAGTGTTTGAAGATTTAGTTGGCAGAAGCAGCATGTGTAGATGTTATTGTTGAATTATTGTAATTCAGAGCAAACCAATCTGAGCAACAGAGGGAGAAACATCCCATTCTTAAGTCCAGAATCCCTGAAACCTACATTTCCCATAATGCACCTGGATAGAGTCTACCTTTCAGTCCTCGCAGTACCTTTAAATCTACACATGTTGCACAAGCCAGCAGCACGTTATGTCTGTGTGTTAAGAGGTTTAACCTCCGTCTGTATGAATGAACGTTTACATTCATTCACAGAGGAAGGAAACTTCTGGGTCAAATTCCCCCTGAGATTTTCCGATCACGGACACATAGTTCTAATATCATGGTAATAATCCTTCCTCGGAAAGGGGATCTGTAAAGTTTAATTCATACAGACGGAGGTTAAACCTCTTAACGCGGAGACATAATGTGCGGCTGGCTTGTGCAACAGGTAAAGACTTAGAGCATTGGCGGCTTTCAGGCTTTAAAGCCTTTTTCTCATATGAGCTCCTGACATTATGACCATTTCAGCACATTCAGGTACTGATATTTTCTAGGAAAGCCTTTCAAACATGCACCTTATAGCAGGAGATAGAGACGCTCTTAAACAATTGGAAACGCTCCGTTTGGTTTAGAGTAAGAGGCCGCCGGTCAGTGTCGTGCAGGAAAAGGAAGAGGAGGAGGAGGAGGAGGAGTGTTCACTAATGGTGTCTGTATCTTTGTTAATATCACTACAATATGTAAAAGGACATTTTCACCACCCAAACACAACAGCAAAACATGATACAGACAACTGAGGCGAGCAGTAGAGAGGATAAAGCAGAGAACAACATCATCAACGACGTCATCACCTCGCCCACTCGGTTTCCTCTTTGCTCGATTGTGTTAAATCACACCTACCCCAAACTATGTCGAGAGTTTTCAGGAGTGCAGTAGATGACAGATAAAAGGAACGTTTGTCCAAGTAACTACAGAACGACTTTTTTGTCAGTGATGAAGTAGAAACTGGCTGATAGGTGACAAACAGTCACACATGGGTTTAAACGAAGCGGTGACCTCCAGTGTTGAAAAATGAAGCAAATGCAGAAGTGCAGAATCCTGCTTGAGTCTGGCTCCAGGAACACAGGAAGTCACATACACACCACATTCAAAACAACTGTTTTTACAGCATAATTAAACATGTTTACAGCCTGGTACAAAAAACCAAACAGGTCTGATTAGTTATTGTCATCATGGGACACACTGTACGGGGGTGGATTTTTAAAAACAGCTCTGTTTTGATTTTGAAAACGAAACCTGTTATTTATAGTTGGGCATGTAGCTGACATGATTGACAGGTGGGCGGTGTAACGGTTCATCAAGAGGCTTAAAAGCTGCCTCAGCTCCAGCTCTCAGTCTGTCGTTAGGTTGACTGAAAGTTAGGCTGAGACAGGATTTCCAGCATGGAGGCTGCTGCTGATGAGTCTCTGTAGCCCCCTGCAGGAACAGATGGCTGACGTCACTCAGGCCTCTTTTTTTGTTTGACTTCACCTTATTACTCCAAAATTACCAAAGCTTTATAAACATGACATATTTTTAACCCGAAGTTGTGGCGTGCAGAAGAGACGGAGCTGCGACGGTCCATTGAAATTCACAGGTCTGCAAATACTGACGTTAAACAACTCCTCCCGGCGTCTCTTAAAGATGCATCTTTCTTTCATGTTAAAATAATACATTAGTAACATTTTGGTACTGAAACATCAACAATATAAATCTTTAATTAAAATAGTTTGAATAAACATGAATATATCTTCAACCAGGTTAGAGATTCATTTCTCTCCGTTTTCATGTTTCTGTAAAAACTGAGAGACTCACACAGAGTAAGAAAATCCAAGAAATTCAAACTTTTAAGTGTGACAGTAGATATTGATTTGTTTTTGCTACATGGACTGCTGAGCGTGTGTGTGTGTGCATGCGTGTGCGTGTGTGTGCGCGTGTGTGCGTGTGTGTGTGTTTTCTGGTTGTTAGTGTGTTTTTCTGCATCTCGCTCTGGCAGGTTGAGCGTTAAGCAGCTTAGCGTCGTCGTCGTCCACCAGGCGCACAGCCGAATCCTTCAGCTC